TTCAGAGGCTAAAACCATAAGAAGAGCAGTGAGGTCTGAAACCCACTGTTCTCAGTTCCCGTCCATTCAGGAATGAATGGTAATGATGGGTTATCGTAACCTTGCCATGACCGTGTCTCCTTTGTGCTATCTCAACAGCTCAGATATTCATGAAAATGGGAGTCTAGATATCTATTTCCTCCTGCCCCTGATGAGTGTGTCCTAATTCTCCATCCTGAATATTTTAGCCATCAAATGGCCTTTGGCATTCAAGAGTTATTTCTTACATGAGCTCTCCATGATTCTATCACTAGGGAGAGTCTCTCCACTGATATGTACACGAGTTAGGATGGTGGGAACACAGAATGAGAGCTGGAAAGGACCTTGGAGACTTAGTCCAATTCCTTCATTTTAGAGATGAGGAAACTGAAGCCCAGAGGAGCTGAAGTGATTTGTCTGAAGTCTCAGGGACAGCAGACCCAAGATATGAATCCCTGCCCTTAAATCCACATCTAGTACCCTTTCTTTCCACTGTACCATACTGCTTCCCTTTGTGTCTTAGTAAATGGTCTTCCTTAGTAGCCCAGCTTCACTAAACAGGTCCTCTGATGGCAGACATACATCACAGTCAGAGTCATCACCACATCGGGATGAGGCATCAGAGTAGGAATTTAGTGGACTCAGTTAAAAGTAAAAGCTAAATAGTGAGTATATGATCTGCTGTCCATGCCAAGGACTTGAGAAATGTGATAATGGGCCAGATCCCTTGTTGTTCCAGCCAATAGTTTGCTTATGGCACTGGTTTCAAAGGACATTTTATGGGACAGTCTGCCTTCCATAACACCAACTTCAAAAGATGAGAATGAGCCACAGACATCCCTACCTCCTTTTAAAAATAATCTAATTTTCATTGATAGCTTTTGTCTATATGTCATATTCATTTCCAAATATGTATTCCCCCTTACACTCAGTGACTCTTGTAACAAATAAAAAAAAAAAACTCAGTTCAGCAAAATCAATCATGTCTGACAACATAAGCTATAATATTCCATATCTTTGGTCCCCCTACCTTGGCAAAGAAAACAGGGAGACACTTTTTTTTTCCAATTTTTCTCCAGGACTGAGCTTCATCCTCAGCTTAATAAATTCTGTTATGGAGCTACCATCCATGAACTTTTTTTCCACACTCCTTTAGCCTCTGATAATATTTTCAGGCTGTGCTCCCAGTTTTACATTAGTGAAAAACAGAAGTGCCTTTTATTGGTTCACAAAATCCATCTTCCACAGGTTAAGAGGTCTCCCTCATTTTGGCATTCCAAAATTGGGTCAACATGGATTTGTTCACATATCCTATCATCTCTTTCTTCCTTCCTTCAATTCTCTCATTCTTTTCTCGAGATTGGGAGAACAGAATGAGAGGACACACGGTGATTATCTTTGAAAGAGTACTCCTGTTTTGTTTCCACTCAGCACTTTGTGAACTGTTTTGACTTTGGGAGCAGTTGGGTTTCTATCCTCAGGGGCAGGTTACAACAACTCGGAAATCCCTTTCCTGGGTCTTGACTGATAGCTTAGGGCCCATCATTTTCTAAGTATAGTTTGGATTATTTCCCCAAATAATAGGCTAGGCTAAAATAGAGACTACAGAGAACCGTGGATTCTCACACACAATGAGGCCATCACTTTAGAATTTCTCTTTTTTCAGCAGTCCTAGGCATTTTCTTTTGGAGATATACTTTCAGGCATGTAACTATTTAATTTTGCATCGATCATTTAAAAATAACACTTTTAATGTTCATTTTCATTTAAGGCTTTTTTTGGCCCTGATTTATTTTTTTAAAAAAATGCATTCCATATGAGAAAGGCAAACAGGAACTGGTGAGTGAACAGTGAGAACAGCGGGAGCAGATGTGGTAGCCCTCTTAAAGTCAATATTTTTATTTTGATGACCTGAAAATAGGCATCATATTGATGGTTTCTTGATTTCTTTGAAGGAAAAAAAAAGAAAAGGAACGTGAATTAAAGCCATTCATCCTGCAGCTGATTATTTTGTATAAAGAAAAGGGATTATTGGTTTCTGTCTTATTTGACCAAGCATTTACTCTGTATAATAACATATTTTGTGTATAAACTCAGTTGCCTGTGTAGGGCTTCTGTCTGCCTCAGGCAAGCAAATTGTATAACATTTCAGCTCAGGTTTCTTGTCTCTAAAATGGAAGTAATAATAACACCTCCTGTTGTGTTGTGAGGATCAAATAAGATAATACATATATAGAAAACACTTTGCAGACTTTTTAAGTATCACATAAATGTTAGAGGCTATTATTGACATGTAACTCTACTACTGCTATTGGGATGTTTGAACAGAAGTTAAGCTTTTTTTATTCCCTTCCATTTAAGTACCAACAGATGGCAATAGGACTTCTCATTCTGATGGGGGGTGGGAGAACTCTCACCAGTCTGAAATATTTGAAATTTGCTGTGAAAATTTATTAAAAAAAAAATAAATCCATTCATCATTCTTTTATCTGAATGTGGATTGTCTGCTACACAATGAATCCCAGGTTAGCCTCTCCTAGCCACTTTGGTATACTTGAGCCCTGTCGCACTGATTAATTGGTATACATTCAGAGTACCCAAACCAGTGTTTATGTTGGCTCAAGCCTAAGTAAACTTGGAAGGTAAAGTCAATTAGTCAATCAACAGGTATTTTAAAAGTGCATATCCTATATGCTAAGCGCTCAGGATTCAAAAATTAAAATCAAATAACCCCTGCCCACTAGTAGCTTATATTCATCAGAGTAGAAACTATCATTCCACAAACGTTTATTGTTTACTTTGTGCCAGAGACTTTTCTAAACACTAAAGACGTGAAGAAAAATCAAACGTAGTCTTTGCCCTTGAGTGGGCTGGATTCTAATGGGGACAACATCTTTAAATATGGTTCTATGTAACATACACATGAAGTAGATACAAGGTAACCTTGGAGGTTACCTTGGAGGGGATGGTACTAGCAGCTAGGGAAAGACCTCCTGAAGAAGATGGAGGTAGAGGTGAGGTGGGAGACCATTGGAGGCATGGGGGACAGTCATAAGGTACGGAGGGGATATATGGAGTGTCATGTGTGAGAACCAGGTAGGCCAGTAGTGCTGGACCATAGAGTATGGGGAGGTGAGGCCCTAATAGCTGAAGGCATCGGGAAACCCCATGTATAAGAGGCCTTGGCAAAAAGACAGGACACAGGCTAATCATAAAAAGCCCATTCCAAAATCCAGTGGACATGAAATTTTTATTACTCATCCTTTGCCACTTTTTGCCAACCTAATTTCCAATGGTTTACCTCTAAATGTATCTGAAAAACTAAATAAAAACACCCATGATCATTTTAGCAAGTACTAATGCTCAATGTGCTGGGCCTGGAGTCAAGAAGACTTTTCTTCATGAGTTTAAATCTGGCCTCAGACCCTGACTAGTTTGGTGACCCTAGGCAAGTCACTTCACCCTGTTTGCTTCAGTTTCCTCCTCTGTAAAAAAAAAGAGCTGGAGAAGGAAATGACCAACCACTCTGGTATCTTTGCCAAGAAAACCTCAAATGTATTCATGAAGAGTCAGACACGACTATAAAATGACTGAATGACAACAATGTTCCTTTAGTTCTAGTAAAAATTAATTTTTTACATAAACACCTCCTTGTGCTTTCTCTTAATACTTGGCAATTAAGCTTTGAGTTTGACTCTTTCTTGAGCCATTGGAAGAACCTGTGGTCTCATGGATAAAAGCAAGACTTCCAAGCAAATGAGTGCTGGCCCTTCCTTTGATTAGCCATGTGAGCCTGCCTGGGCCTCAGTTTCTTTATCTGTAAAGCCAGGACAATGGTAGAGTTGTAATTGTACCCATCTCACGGAGTTGGGAGAATCAAATGAGACGAGGGCTCCATAAACTACAAAGTTCTAGATCAATGTGAACTATTATCATTACAGGTCACCCCTGTTTTGGAATTTTGTAATGGCCTAATTTTTTTAAGGAACATCCATGGTGGGGCGAAGGGATGTGGAGGAAGGACGTAATACAAGCTGGCGTCAGTGAGTTAAGTCACCGGATAGAAAAGAGAAGAATGATTTACTTCCCGGCAACCCCATGCTGTAAATTTCCCTCCTTCACTAACTTTCATACTCTACTCAGTTATAGCTTTAAAGCTGGAAGACGTCTCAGAAATTATCTGGTTCAAATCCTTTATTTTACAGAAGGAGGAATTGAGGTCCAGAGAGAGGTAAAATGTTCTTCCCAAGGCCGCACAGGTAGTGAGTGATCAAGTCAGGATGTAAAGCCAGGTCCTCTGCCAAATTCAGTGCTCCTTCCACTTCCACGCTATCAACAATCAGTTCATAAGCACTTATTAAGCACTTACTGTATACCAGGTACTTCTCTAAACACTGAGGATAGAAATACAAAAATGAAGCAGCCCCTTGCCCTCAATGACCTTACTTTTATTCTTTTTTTTGTTTTGTTTTGTTTCATTTTGCTTTTTTTGCTTGTTTTTTTTTGGGGGGGGGTTGGTTGGGCAACAGGAGTTAGGTGACTTGCCCAGTGTCACACAGCTAGTAAGTGTTGTGTGTCTGAGGCCGGATTTGAACTCAGGTCCTCCTGAATCCAGGGCCGGTGCTCTGTCTGCTGCACCATCTAGCTGTCCCCTTATATTCTAATAAAGAGTTTATATCCAAACTTTTAAGGGTAACTTTTTTTAAGTCACTGTACCTATTCCATGCAGAGTCTAAACCTGAGGCCTTCAGAGTGTCAATGTATTTTTAGTCTCTCTACTAAGTATAATATTTTAAAACAGAGACAGTCTCGCCTTCAATATACTCATTTTTTTTTCCTGAAGGATGGTAATTAAGCCTTCCCCAAAAGCCCTAACCCTAGGGATTATAGCACAAAATAGTATGTACAAGGGAAAAGTAAGGATTTAGAGGATTGTTTTGTTTTTTCTCTAACTTTTCTACACATTTGTCCACTTTTTCTAGGTAATAGTGACCAGTCAGGATCTCAGGAGAAACTTCTCATTGACAGCCAAGGCCTGAGTGGGTGCTCCCCAAGAGACTCAGGTTGCTATGAAGGCAGTGAAAACCTGGACAATGGTAATCACAACAAAGTGACTAATTCTCTGCAAACAGCCTTACATCATTCTGTCTTTTGGCTGGTGAAATTGCTTCATGCTTAACTTTCTTTCTGCCCACTCTCAGTTCCTCCTCCTGTCTGAATCACTGCTTTAAACATCATCCTTTCTCTCTCTCCTCCCGCGCCCTCTGTTCTGTGTTAGCGAAGGCAGTTTTCATATCGGGAGCTCTTACAGTGAGGAAATCACAGGCCCAGGTCTCATCCCTACTCCCCAACCCTGGCTTGTTTTAGAGTTTGAATTTTACTCCCTCTTGGAATTAAAAGGCACGGTTACCTGGTAGAATCTGATGAAATATTTGTTATGAACAAGAAATGAAGGGGAAGCTAGGTGGTGAGGTGGATAGAGCTCTGGTCTTGGAGTCAGGAGGACCTGAGTTCAAATCCGGCCTCAGACACTTGACACTTACTAGCTATGTGAACCTGGACAAGTCACTTAATCCCGGTTGCCTCACCAAAAAGCAAAAAAAAAAAATGGATGAAGTATACTTTAGTCATTCAAATGAGCTGCAATTGAATTGGTGCAGTTGTTACCTCCACTGGCATAGATCCCAACACTTTCTATGGCTAAAATAAAGCCCAGCTAGGCTAGTCAGCAGATGACTCTGCATGGTTAATATTCAGAACCATACTTGGAACTATCATAATTTATTAGGGCCTTTCAGAGTTTGGGCTCTTAATGGATGTTTGGATAGATCCATAGGGGGAAAAAAGTTAGTAAGCACTTATTATATGCAAGGAACTGTGTTAAGCTCTGGGAACACAAATACAAAAACAAAGACAAAGACAAACTGCATTTAAAGAGCTTAAGTTCTAATGTGGGGAGAGACAACACAGCTAGGAAAGTGTTGGCCAAGGAGGCATATTTTGCCCTTGAAAGTTATAGGGCTAGTGTGGAAAGCCATAGGGATGTAGATTGAGGCATACCCTCCTTTTCCAGTAGAAATGACAGTGTGGTTTTGAATATGGTTTTACAGTTGGATATAGGGTGGGGAACAGTGACCATGAGAACTTTGCAAGGTTGCGTTGCGAACGTGAGATGGCTGAGGAGTAAAGAATAGATAGAAATAGGCCAAAGTTAGAGCCCTTATGTTTCATACTGTGGTTCCAGTCCTAGCCATTTAAATCATTATGAAGCACCTATTATGTACCGGTGCTGAAGATACAAAAAAAGGCAAAAAAAACAGTCTCTCTTCTCAAACATAGTCTGATGGGGGAGACAACATGTAAAAAAACTATGTACAAATACAATATAGACTATGATTTGGAGATATTCAACCGAGGAAAGGTATTAGTATTTCGTTATTGAAACCACTGTTACAGTCATGGAATTTTGGAGTTAGAAGAGACTTCAAAGCTATCTTATCTATATCTGAATTGCATTTTCTATGATGTACTCAACAAGTTTCCATGTAGCCTTTACTTGAAGACTTCCAACGTAAAGGGGACCACTTTCTACCTCTCAAGGTTGTCTACTCTACTTTGGCCTAGTAAAGGATAGAAATTGGCCAAAAGTTAGAGCCTTTATATGTCGTAGTGCCAGTCCTAACCACTTAAATCATTATGAAGCACCCACTGTTCATCCTCTTATTAAAAATAAACTGCTTCTGTGCAACTTTAATTAGGTTGTATTGGTGAGAAGGAAGAAGAAAAAGAATTCTACTCTTTTTTGGAGCCCAGCTGAATTACTTAGGATATCGTGTTTTATACCTTCTAATACTCCAGGGAACCTGTGCTGTCCTCCCATAAGTACAACATGAGGAAATCCACACATGCAGAAGCCTTTCCTTGAATTCTCTTAATATAACAAGAATATCAGTGGAGTATGCTGGTTGTCCATTAATTATCCTTTTCCTTGTTATATGACTGGCCCATTTTTTTCATCATATACTTCCCACATTTTTTGATTATAGCCTTTATCCTACTTCTTATGAGTAATTCTTCATCTGTAGTATGTTGTAGGTTGCTCACATGCACTCCTCTCTTTTGGATGATCCTCAACTTATGGAATATTGAATATATAATAAAGATTTTTTTTAGGGAGAATATTAGGGTCATTAAAAAAATAAAAGAAACCTTTGAGATTTCCCAAAGACAATCTATCCTGCTTCTCTTTCTGCTTAAACCCAGCTCATTGTTTATAGCACCTGTCCAAGATAAACATGCTCTATAGCTAGTTTGTCGATCCAATCATATGTCATGGTGCTAGTAAGTCACTAATCAAAATCCTTGGGGGACAGTACTGTATTTGATGCTTAACATAGGGGGAAAGAGGAGACACATAAAGTTGGGAACTTTGAATTGAATTGAAAATGAGCAGAGACTCTATTTAGCTATATTGAAAATCTGCAGAAAAATAAGCTTTGGAATTGTATAGAAAATAACAAAAACATCTAAGGTACTTAAAACTGTGTACAATGAACATTTAAAAATTTACAAATATGTTCAAATCCTTCCTGCTGACTTTGGCCAGATGGTAATGAAGTACACAACGCATTACCTCACCTTATTTATTCAAACATTAATCAAACTTTATAATACATTTGTGACTCTCACTAGGAAAAAAAAAAGTAAACATTTATATCAATTAATGACACTAAAACAGGGGGGAATATAGGAAAACTAGCACTTTAGACCATGGGTTCCTGCAAACTGGCCTGAAGGCTGAATCTGACCTGCCACCTGGTTTTGTGGGGCCCTCAAACTCAGAATGGTCTTTTCATTTTTCAGTCAAGGTTTATTGTATTTAAATATGCAAAACCCAGTCTTGGCACAGGGCCCAAGGTACTGGCCTTCAAGCCAAAGTTTGCTGACTCTTGCTATGAATTCGTTTGGGATCTTCTGGGTCTGCATCTTTTAAAGACAAACTTGATCAGAAAAGACTTTATAATCATTATTAGTCAGAGGATGATCCTTTCCTTACTAAAACTTCCCCCTTGATCTAGTCAGTCTTGTTACACAGTCTTTTCTTCCTGACTGCTAAGTCAGGCTAATATATACAGCTCAAAACACTTGCAGCTGTAGAACCTTAATTGTCTCATATGTGCTTTTAAATACAATGCACACCAATATTGGAGTGTTGGGAGCTATTAGAACCACGAGGAAAAACAATTTACCAGGTAGATGATACATCAGGTTCAAACAATGAGTGTGTCTTCCAAATATTAAACTCTTACAAAACTAAAAAAATAAAAAGCAATTATACTGCCTCCTCCTTCATCCCTTCCTTTTTAATGAGTTATTTATTAGACAAAGAAACAACGGGAACTCATTCCTAATCATTTTATTTTGTGAACTCCCACTTAAGGGGAGGAGATAACATTAAATGATGTTACTTATACATTGAGTTATACACACACACACACACACACACCACCCTTCTCTTGCTTAAATCTTGGGAGATAAGTTAAAAATCTCTAGAGAGTGTTTTAAAATTCTGTTGCAATCACATTCATTAATTCAAATGCTTGTTGATTGGGAGCACAGTCAAGTGGAATGAATGCTGGTTTGGGGTTTGAATCCGAGGTACAACATTTGCCTTCAAGTTCCTTCATGTCTCCAGTTTCCTCTTCTGCCAAATGAGGATCATAATTAAACTTCCTACCTTGTAGGATTATGAGAAAAGTATTTTGTACACTATACACATTAGAAACATAAATCATTCTAATTATTATCATTGAGTACCTACTGTCATGTGAGGTTTACTAGGAATTACAAAGTACTATAAGTGGTCACTCTTTGACTGACCTTGAAATCCATTTAAAGTGGAATTAGTCACTGCAAAGACGTAATTTTCATCTGTGCAGCCCAAATATAACTAATGCAAAACCAATTCACATGAAATTAGAATGAAATAAAGCCTTCCAAAGAGAAATAGATGGGCTTGTAGTCAGCAAGGCACACTTCATTCAAGCTGTCTTTGTATACCCAGCATTCAGAATAGCGATGGGCACATAGTTGGTACTTAATAAGTGCATGTTGATTGGTTTATTGATTACCTCCAGGTCCTGAGCTCTGTCCACTATCCCATTCTACTTCGAGTTGGCTTTCATAAGTTAGCCTTTCCATTAATGATTGAAAAGCTTCACAGTGGGTGGAAGAAGGCTAGATTGAGTTAACAATGATGTTTTATGTGTGAAAGGGAACATGTAGGACATCACCAGGGCCATGAATGGCCTCTGAAAAATGAGATGGGCCAGCCATCTAGTAAAAAGTGAGGGATAATTGCCTAAATGTTATACTAATTCACCTTCTCCCCTCAAAAGAACTACAAGAAAATCTGGACCCTTCATAAAAGCTCTACAGACAGACAAAGATATGAACTCCACAGGATGAAAAAGTGTTGTTGGCTTATAATCTGCATCAGTAAAGGGGGTAGCCACATTGAGGAGATCATGGATCTAGCAAGGCATCATGAATTAGTCTAGAACAGGACCCCCTTTGACAGTCTGGTGAGGCTAATGCTTTTAAATGTATAAAATACATAGGATTACAAAGGGATCCAATTATATCCAAATAAAGTTATCAAAATATTAATTTTAAAAAGTTCACAGACACCAGTTAAAGAACCTCTTGTCTGAAGTGAAAATGACTAAGTACAATCCCATGCCATACTTGGTTCAGGGAAAATACTTCTATTTCTTAGCTTAAAGACTCCTACAAGCAGGAATTTTATTTGAGTCGGGGGCAAAAGTAATAGATTAAACAAATCAATAAACCAACCAACAAGCATTTATTAAGTACCTACTGTGCGCTTAGTGCTATTCTGAATGCTGGGTATACAAAGGCAAAAATGAAACTGTTTCTGCCCTCAAAGAGCTTATATTCTGTCAGGAAATAAAAAGCTATATTTAAAGATATAAATGTATAAGGTAATGGGTGGGGGGTGAGAAGAGAGTGATATTAGCAGCCTCAGGGTAATCAAGAAAGGCTTTATGTATAAAGTGGTACTTGAGTTGAGTTTTGATAGAAACTAGGGATTCTAAGAGATGGATGGGACAGGGCAGTGCATTCCAAGCATGGGCCATGCCAGGGAAAAGGCATAGAGATGGGAGATGAAGTGTTGTGTGTGATAAATAGCAAGAAGAGAAATTTGGCAGAATCATAGAGCACATGCTAGGATGTAATGTATAAGCCTGGAAAAGTAAGTTGGAGTCAGATTATTAAGGATCATAAAGAAACCAGGAAGACTTGAGTTCAAGTTCCACATGGTCAAGTCACTTGACCTGAGTTTCATTTTCCTTGTCTGTAAAATACAGATTATAATAGTGTCTATCTCACAGTGTTGTAAGATCCAATGACCCGATATAAGTAAAATACTTTACAAGCTTTAAAGGTTCCATACAGATGTGGGTTACTATAATTATTATATTAGAGCATCTGCATACATTATAACGAAAACTGCTTAAAAATTTTGACGAAAAAAAGTTTGGTTGGTTTTTTTTCCCAGGTAAGACTCGGAAGGCTGTACCGACTAAGTCAACCATGGATCCTCACTTTAAAGATTTCGACAGAAATCAGCTGGCCAGCTACCCGACATTGCCTTTAACTAAGTCAGTCAAAGCTTTGAAGGAAGGAGAGAAGGAAGCCCGGCTTATCAAGATTCATGCTTCTGACGCCTGCGGTGAGCCAAGTGTGACCGACTCCAAGACAAACCGTAGAAGCTTACCAGTCTCCATCTGTCGGAGCTGTGAGACCCTGGAGGGCACTGAAGCCACAGAGACTTGGCCAAGGTCCCATTCCCTGGATGACCTTCAAGGAGAGCCTAGTGCTAAACAAGATGTGCCTAAAAAGGAAGCAGAATCACCGCCTCAGAACGTACCAGAAGTGCCCCAAAAGACAACTGTTTGCAACCTGAAGGCAAAAATTCCCTCAGATGTCTCTTCTGTACAAGACCCACTGCTACTGACCCAAAGCGTGAGATTTTCTGATCCTCAGAAAATTAAAACTAAGACATCAGACTGCCCATCCACAGTCTCTTCACATGGGACAATTCCTTGTTTGCCTAAAAATTATGAAGCTCAGCCTGCCTCAGTTAAACAGACTTTAACAAGGACTCCTCTAGAGGGTCACAAAAAAGGGCATGATCTTGAAGGAACAAATAACCCTCCAGTCACCAAAGAAGGGGTCGAAGTGGATCAGAGGGTCACTGAGGCAAGAACACAGCCAAAAATTCCTTCACAGCCTCCACCTGTTCCTGCCAAAAAGAGCAGAGAACGCCTCACTAATGGACTACACCATGCACCCGTTGCCCATACTGGTGCCTTCTCTAATCCAGATGTACCATGCTTGCCAGTTAAAAAGAATAGTCCCATTAGCCCTAGTGACTGTCATACAATAACAGTTTGTAGGTCTTCCCCAGAACAAGAGCCTGGCAGCCCTCCAACCACACGGCCACCATGGCTGTCTGAACTCCCAGAATCCACTAGTATTCAACAGCATGGAGTCAAGCTGGGTCTTCCTTTGACAAGGAAGATCTCCTGTGCCAGAGGAGTAGATCTGGACATGTTGGTAGAGAACAAGTTGCAAACTGAAGGTATCGATCTCACTGAGGAACCATATTCTGATAAGGTATGAAGGTCCACAATCTCTCATGGCTTTCTTTGAAACTCAGGTTACCCTACAATGGACAGCCAGATCAATCAGGGAATGAAAGTTCCAACTTAATCTGATCATCCTTTTCCTGTGAGGCCATTCAGAACAAACTGGAATGGAAACCTCAGTGGCCAATGGATAGATGCTCTGTGCTCATTAACATTCAGAATCCTAAATGTTAATAATTCATTAGGAAAACAGTGCTGGTAAACGGAAGGGTCTCAACAGCTGAAATCAGAACTTTGTGCTCTGATTCAACCTGTTAATCCAGGTAAAGGGAATCTAAGGCTTTCTTCCCCCCACTTTGGCAGCTGGGCTTTGTAGGAAAAACATCTGACGTTGAAAGAAGGTGGTTGAGACAACTCTCTAAAGATGTAACTTGCAGAGGAGGTGCCAACTTTCATTGCTAGAGGGGAGTTCCCAGTAGCAGTGGAAATAGAGCTTTTAGCCCATCCTTGCCATTAACTATCCATATAAGCTTAACCTCTCTGTGCCTTAGTTTCTTCATCTAGAAAATTGGATAAATCATACCTGTCCTACTTGACAAAATTATTAGAAGGATCAGATAACATTAGAGGTATATAATACACTATACAAATGTGAAGGTATTGTTTGTTTTCAAGTGTACTGTGAGAATCTTTTGTAGGGTTATGGCAGTAAAGTAAGAATAAAAGAGCGGAAAGAATTCATATGAAGCTCCCCCAGTGCTACGTGTATGATATAGAAATACATAGAAATTTAACACTTAATTCAGTAAACATTCCCTGTTATGTGCCTGGTGGTGTGTGCCAGGCTAGGAGCTGGCGATACAAGAACACAAACTGAATAATTCCTGCTCTCAAGGGACATTTGTAAAAAGTAGGACTTATAGAAAATGTGGCCCTATTTATAAAAAAAAAAAACAGCATCAATGCAAAGAGTACTGGTTCTACAAATCCTACTCCTGCCATTGTGTGTGACCTATGTGACGCTGCGTAAGCCCCTCAACCTCTCAAGGCCTCAGTTTCTTCATCTTTGATAAAAGGATTGGACTAGATGACTTTTCAGTTTCATTCCAACCTCAAACCTATTAATAGGTGATCTTATTAATAAAAGGAAACATGGTTAGTACTCGCTCCGCTTTGTTACTTTTCAGTATGCCCATGTTAGGGGTCATGTTAAAGGAAAGAATACTTCATAACGCAGTCCTTTTAGTACCTTAGTAATGAAATTCACTTATAGAGTCAAGAAAGGCCCTACTTTACCCTATTTTTACTTTATAACAAGTAGTATTATAGAAAAGTTGAAGTGTCAAATACTAAGAATGTATTTGATTGTTTTTCTTATTGCCCATAACTCTCATGAAGTTTTAAAACCTTCCGAAATCAGACTCGGAAAGTGCAAATCAGTGCTTTGAGAAGCAGCTACTTGGAGTGTTGTGGGATGACTCTTAAATACGTGAAAACTGTCTGCTTTGGTTTTCAAGGAATTTCCTTAGAAAATGCAGTTATTTGAAAGATGAATAGATCCATTTCCTCACAGCAATCTCCAAAGCATCCAATTTGCAATTAAAAATAATGAATTGCTTTTAAATGAAGCTCTTAGTGATATTTGATAGTATTTGAAGGTCACCCCATTAACCCAGGCTTGGTGTATTTTGGGGAAACAATGTACTATTTAATTTGATGGACGGGTAGACTGGCATAATGCAGCACTATCATAGAGAGGACAGGAGTCAGATATCTTGGGTTCCAGTCTGTTCTGATGCGACAGCATGACCTTGGACGAATCATTTTATCTCTCTGGGCCTGTTTCCTCCCCTGCCACTTGAGGAATTTGGACTAGGCGATCACTAAGGTTCTTTTTGATTCTCCCTTGGGTTACAGCATGGCCGTTGTGGGATTCCCGAAGCTCTAGTACAGAGGTATGCTGAAGATCTAGGTCAGCCAGAGAAAGAGATTGCTGTGAAGATGGACCAAATCCGAGTAAAGCAGCTTAGGAAGCAGCACCGGATGGCGGTAAGCTCAGGCGCCACGCCTTCAGTCTTTTTTTTGAGTCTCTTTAAAGTTACCTTAACCTTCACTCCCAGGTTGCAAAAAAAACAGGCTGATAGATGGCTAAGGAAAGCTGCAGGAGACACACTCCCCGTCTTCTCCCCCAAGTCACAAGATGGGTGGGGATCAAGTACATGGGTGCCATGTCCATAGCTCCTACTGTCCCAGAAAAAAAATACATCAAATATGGAACTATACCTTGGAAAAGACCTCAAGTTTCCCTGTAGAAGTGGGCAGGGAAGGTTTGCCACTTGTGAGCTATTGTGAAGCAATGAAGTGTTTCTGGAGGATGACATTGAACTTAGCAGACACATACACACACACACACACACACACACTCACACAATACCTATAGACACACACTTATTCAGTCTTAGTTTTAGTGTATATTCAAATTTATCATGGGAAGTATACTTAAAACATCTTATGTACATCTTCTTATAATTGGAATTTTGTCCTATCCCATTTTGGTCCACAGAAACACAATTTGAGAATTGTTGACTCACAAGGAACATGGTGAGACAAGATAACAGTGATAGACAGTAAACGTGAATAATTGGGCAGTCAGAACACATAACTGGCCTTTGATCCTATTTCAGATACTTTCCCCAGTGTGATGGCTACCGAGATAATCAATGCCATCATCTGGAGGTAAACATGGCATACTAATTCATTATGCTGATCTTGACATTTGAAGCCTCAGTGCTATCTCCTTCAAATTGTAATTGGAGCCATTTATAGAGCACTATTTACCTTTAAAATGCCATCATAAAAATGCAGCCAGGGCCAACCTTAAGAGTTGGCACCCACATGGAAAATCCCTCATTCCTAATATATGCCCTTCTTCCACCCAACCCTATCCTTTCCTCAAGTTGCTGATCCCTTACACTCCACATTAAATCTTCATGTGTTTGCATCCTTAGATGTCCTTAGGAGAAGTAATATTCTAAGACATTGGTCATTTATATATTAGTGTGAATGACGTAAGCAAATGTTTTCTGAAATCTGGTTTTAACAGGAGTATAGAAAGAGAATAACAGCTAATTCACATTAATTATTAAGTACCTGCTGTGTGCAGACAAGAAAGGGAAAGGGATGCTATCCAAGAGGGAAAATGATGCAGAGTGGTAGGTTGGGTACTTTCTTTATGAGTACCTTGAAAGGAATTTCTTAAACTTATTTGTATCTCCTACATGTAGGAAGCGTTCAATAATTATTTGTTCGATGACTAATGTGGAAATATGTTTAATATGATCATGCATGTGTAGCCTATATCAGATTGCATGCTATCTTGGGGAAGGCGGAGTGGAGTGAGGGGAGGGAGGCAGAATTTAGAACTCAAAATCTTATAAAAGAGAAAACCCAAACTAAACATAAATAAATAAATAAATAAATTTAGAAAAAAAAATTACTTGTTCCTTGATTTATAATTTTTTCTAGTGCCAGCCTTGTGTGAGGTTTAAATAGAAAGAAAATAGAAAGAAGAATCAAAAGGACTCTTCTCCTGAGCCTCAGTTTCCTCATCTATTAAAAAAAAGATTAATAATAATACCTGTCCTACCTATTTCTTATAAAGGTTGGTAAGGTCAGATGGTTTCACAATGTGTCAGAACTCAAAAGGACCTTAGAGATCATTTAATCTAACCCCGTTAATTTATAGCTAAGAAACTGAGGCTCCAAAAAGTAAAAAGACCTGTCCAAGGTCATATGTTAGTCAATGATAAAGCTGGAACTAAAAGCCAGATCTCTTACTTTTAACTTCTCACCCAATAGCATTTCCATCAGATCATTCCACATCCCAAGTGAAATAATACGTATGAAAGCACTTATAAAGTACTTGACTGAAGCTAGATTAGATGTCGTGGATAGTTAACTGGCCTTAGAGTTAGGAAAACACGGGTTTCAATTCTACCTCTGGCACATACTGATCATATCATCCTGGGCAAGTCATTTAACCTCAGAGAACCTTGTTCAGTCCTCTAGTACCACAAGCTGCAGAGTATGTTCTGATTGATCTACATTGGTAGAGGGATTTCCCTCACCTGAAGTTCTCCAGAGCAATGAAATTATAGGTCTGGTTTCTGCTCCTACTCCAAACAATTTTTTTTCTTCTTTTTAAATACAAGGTAATAATAGGTAGGAGTTTCAGCAAATTAAGACAGTGGAGGAACCATACTTGACATGAGCAAATGATCCTGAACTTTGGGGTTGTTGACAAGCATTATGTAGGCTCAAAGAAGAGCCCTAGGTATGACGTAAGAAATCACAATGAAAGAGACCACTGCTAAATGACATGTACAATGAAGGAATTCACGGCATTCTCTTCTCTCTTTATCTAGATCCCAAGTGGAGGACTCACAGAAATCTGCAGAAAACCCCTTTCCCCAGGATGTGTGACCTCAGTCTCTGACTGGCTGATTTCCATTGGCCTGCCTATGTATACCGGCATCCTCACAGAAGCAGGGTTCAACACACTGAGCCAAGTGCCTTCTCTGTCACAGACTTGCCTTCAGGATGTTGGCATCACAGAGGAGAGACACATAAGTAAGCTTGTAACGGCAGCCAGACTCTTCAAACCACCCCTGAACCCGGAAGCCATGTAACTGAAAGTGGGCATCCCATCAACATCCACTACCCTTTCTTTCACTGTGCTTAATAATACCCGTGCAATTTCTACAAATGGCCTCCAGAAGAGCAGGGCCAGCCTTGGGCCGGCTCCAATGCAGCCAAGTGAAAGCTCGACCAAGAACTGGAAACTTTCTTCTTAGTGAAGACAAATAACCAGGGCCATCCTCTTTGTCCCCCAAAGGAAAGTCAAGGAAGTATTTTCATTTTGGAAGTTCATGGGAACCGCCTTGCAAACCTGTGACAGATGTCATTTGCAAATCTGTCTTTTTAGGGTAGGATAAGAGTGGGTGAGTTGTTTGAGGGAGCTAAGCCCATTTCCCAATGTTATCGGAACATCATTCTCCTTCCTGTTGCTCTGTATAGTACTGAGCGGCCAAACAGGTTTTAGCTAGGCCAAAGTAACAGACTCTGGAGTTAGTTTACAGTATCGCTCATTTTCAGTTACTCATGGGTAATTAAATGAGACTGGCACCAGGAACAAGAAAAGTCTTGTTTTGGGTTGGTTTGGTTTTTTTCCCTTTGATAAAGCAAGTCATTCTATAACAATTGCTTTCTAGCAATCAGCTTTTTATTTGCCTTAACATAAGCTCTTAAGCAGTATCGTAACTAATGTCCAGTCACCTGTAACCATATTTCTCAATCTTCAGCTTAGACTGCCATCTAACATCCTGGGATGTTTCTGGACAAAAACAAACAAACAAAAAACTGGCTTTTTAAAGTCTCACTTTAAGATGGCCAGTGTTTAGGGTTGTTTTTCCATGGCGTTCATGTTGGGTTTCAGTTGTTAGACTAACAAAATCAGTAAATATGTCTACAATTTACAGAGATATCTTTTCTTGTGTGTGTATACGTGTGTGTGTGTGTGTGTGTGTGTTTGCAGTAACTGCCTTTCATTTTAATAATTTTTAATACTGTTACCGTATCAATCATACTCCAGCATCGACTTGGTATTATGACCACAGCCATTCCAGACTTTATTTTATCTGCTCATGGGTCATCTTTGTAAAAGCCATTAAGAGATTGAATTGTTCAGGATGAGGTTTCAAAGAAGGAAACAAGTTCATAGGTTGTTTTTAGTTTTGGTTTTGTTTTTGGAGAGTTAAGGTGTTTATGTTGCATTTTTTAAAATTGCTGTCTTTTTGTTTTCTGGATGCTTCTTGTATTTCAAAGAAAGTTTCATTTATGGAGGGTCAGACAAATTATTTTTAGCCATATCTGTTAAGGATTTACATGTATTCACAAACTGATGTAAAATATTTTAATAAGGTCCATCTTTTTGCAGCTTAATCTCTTGTTTTCTAGCAGATGCCGAATGCAAAGAACCTACCCATTAGGTAGGGTTATGCTATATGCCCCCCAGTGCCATCTGTTTTTTAACTTCCTATTAAAGCACTCATTTGTACAATAGATGTCACAGTCACAATTTTGATAACTTTGAATGGACACCGGGCTTTGCTTAGTCAATAGTTACAAATACTTTCATTTAGCCATGAAATTCCCCATGAGAAATTATTTCATTATGTCCAAAGCATCTTTCCGTATTCCTTCTATCATTGTCAGCAAGTTTTTGAAGTAAAGGAGAGAATCTTTTTGATGACTTTTTTAGGGGAAAATTAGGCATTACTGAATGCTTTGGTCAGTGGCAAGACTTTCATTTAAAAAACAACAACAACAACAAAGCAACCACTATATTAACTTTGGTTTTTTTGTTGCCATTTTATTTTCAATGATTTGTTTCTCAGTAACATTCAGCTTTTCCAAGATCTGATATAAAGGAGATGCTGGGACATAGCCTAAGAACAGTTAAAGCTGTCAGCTTTATATTTAATGCTAATTAGCATGTCATTTTATCCCAATTAAGCACTTGCATTCATGTGTCTCCGGAGCTTCGTATTTATGTAAACATGGCTTATTTAGGGTGCCCAGAGGTTGGGGGTTGCTAGTGTGACCAAATTATTTGAAAATGTTTCAGGAGATAAATCATGAGATAGGAGTTGGGAAGTGGGCTCTTTTCCTCCACTAGCAATTGGAAGAATAAGACAGAAGGCACTCTTTGGAAGCTCTCTGTAAGCCACCAAGAGTACCACAGTTTGAAGACCTGTGAGACAGGATCAGAGATAAATTGCATTTGACAAATTCCAGGGAAGGAAATTTTATCTGAATTATTAAATTCCCCCCCTCCCCCGCAGTAGATATTTTGTTTACTAGAATCAAGAGAAATAGAAACTTTTGAGCATTTCAGAGACTCTGTGTCACCTTGCCTTTAAAATGATGATTACATTGGGGAGGCAGGGGAGGTTTGAACCAAATCTAGGAAACGTCATATAATTTTAAGAAGTTGGGGGGAGGGGTTTCCAGTTTAATTAATCTGGGAAATGTGTGCTTTCAACCCTGGCTTTTCTGTGGTTTTATAATTTGTTTTATGTTTGATCTCCTTTTGCTTTATACTTTTAACTTGATCCTCGAAAAGCCTTAAGTTTCTGTGTGTGGTTGTCAGCTGAGGTTTGAATGGTCAGCCTATGCACTTCATCTGACAGGTGGGAGGTTTCAGTCATATCACATTTTTAATTAATTCTCTGTTGGGAGCAATTCTTGAGCAAAAGGATTGTAAAGCTTGTTGACTGTTGGAAAGCACAAAAGAAACCTACTGAACAAGTTCTGGCTCTGGCAGATACTTGTTACATGTCCACCTTGTGTAATTTTAACTTCAAAAGTTGTCTGGCAAGAGCCAGTCCCAAATACTGTTTACATTCCCAGATGATTTAGCTAACACATAACCTTTCGCCAATGCCCTGTTCTTCTCAAATCTAAGTTTGGGTGAAATCATAAGATTCCTTTATTGGAAAATAGTTCCTTTCCCTAAGCATGGCTGGAGAGGTCAGTTCACCACAAGGCTGGTGGCTTCTCATTTGCAAGGGAAAAAAAGATTGTACTCTGGGTCCAAGTTACCTTGATTCTCATTTGTCACGTTTAGGGGAAACAAAAACTTGTCAAGCAAGTGATATTAACAACTAACAATGTTGCACTTTCTGTATATGAAATCAATATTTAAATAACTTATTTTTCTCCATTGCTGTTCTTAAACAATGTAAGTAGCTGTAAGATACCAGTACCGATATGGTCTTGCAATTTGCTTCAGCTCAAGAAAGCGGTGTATTGTTTTTAAAAAAAAAAGTGTAAAAAGTTATTGTGCTGTTTCATTTAGCAAAAAAAAAGTGGACAAAAGGGTTTTCCTGTGTATCAAAACTTGTCTATAATTGTCATTTTCTGTTGATAGAAAAAAAGGTAAATAAATTTCTTCAGCTGAGTATGTCTGAGTTTTCTTTCAACTTATATATCAAAAATGAATTTATTATTAGAAATTCTTTAAAGATATAATTGTTATGTATGATAAATGATGCACTTATACTCATTATGTTGAGTGATCTCTTTTATTTTTTTAATTAATTTTTAACTTTCAACATTCATTCCCGTAAGCTTTTGAGTTTTAAATTTTCTCCCCATCCCCAAGACAGCATGCAATCTGATATAGCCTCTACATATACATTCTTATTAAACATTAGTCAAGAAGAATTAGAACAAATAGGAGGAATCATGAGAAGGAAGAAACAAAACAAAAAAAAGAGAGAGAGAGCACAAATAGCTTTCATCTGCATTCAGACTCCATAGTTCTTTCTCTGCATGTGGATAGCATTTTCTATCATGAGTCTTTTGGAGTTGCCTTAGATCCTTTTATTGCTGAGAACAGCCAAGTCTAAAAAGTCAGTCATCACACAATGTGGCTGTTACTGTGTACGATGCTCTCCTGGTTCTACTCAGTTCACTCAGTATCAGTTCATGTAAGTCTTTCCAGGTTTTTCTGAAGTCTGCCTGCTCATAATTTCTTATAGCACAATAGTATGCCATTACACTCACATACCACAACTTGTTCAGCCATTCCCCAATTGATGGGCATTCCCTCAATTTCCAATTCTTTGCCAACACAAAAAGAGCTGCTATAAATATTTTTATATGTGTGGGTCCTTTTCCCATTTTTATGATCTCTTTGGGATGCAGCTCTAGAAGTGGTATTGCTGGGACAAAGGGTATACACAGTTTTATAGCCCTTTGGCCATAGTTCCTAATTGCTCTTCAGAATCGTTTGATCAAACACAACTCCACCAACAATGCATTAATGTTCCAATTTTCCCACACCTTCTCCAGCATTTATAATTTTCCTGTTTTGTCGTGGTAGCCTATCTTATAAGTGTGATGTAATAGCTAAGAGTTGTTTTGATTTGCATTTCTTAATCAATGGTGATTTAGAGCATTTTTCATGTGATTATAGGTAGCTTTAATTTCTTCCTCTAGAAAACTGCTTGTTCATATCTTTTAACTGTTTATCAATTGGGAATGATCTCTTTTCTAATAGAAGTTACCTTTGATTTTATTGATTCAGGTTCAGAACAACATATATTCATCTAAATTCACTCATCTACTTGAGATTATTGTTTCCAGTTAAGTTTTATTTTCTCTTCTTCATCTTAAAGTATATTTTAATATCATAGAATGTGAGACCTGAAAAGAACCTTAGTCATTTCCTTCGGGCACCTCCCCAATGCCATGAAAAAGTCTGTTGTAAGAGAAGCTGAGGCCAAATCACTTGACAAGTTTTTATGGCTAAAAGGGGACTAGAATCCATACTTCTACACTGAGGAAGGAGGAAAAAATAAACAAATTCAAATAAGAGAAATTAACCTAGATTGTGGAAATGTTTGGAATATTGGTATAACAATACAAAATATGTGGTCAGGAATGTTTATGTAAGTAGTATATTTTAAATATATTAGCACAGTTCGTAGGGGAAGTGAAGTCTGTCAAACTATTTTGAAAAACTTAGGAACTGTGATCAACATAGTAGTCAACCACAATTTCAGAGGACTAAAGGTGAAACATGCCACATACCTCCTAAAAGAGGCAGAATGAGCTGTACATTTCAGACGTGGCCAATGGGGTGTGTTATGTGTGTGAGGGGTGAGATTTTTCTTGATTACGCAGATTTGTTCCTATGTGAGGTAGGAGGTGGGAAAGAGAGAAAATAAATGCTTTTTAATTGAAATAAAAAGTTTAAACAATCTGGAACAATGGAAAGAGTGTTGGAGTCAGAATGTCGTTCAGTCATTCAAGTCATGTCCAACTCTTTGTGACCCCATTTGGGATTTTTTGGCTTTTGTTTTAGCAAAGATATTGGAGTGGTTTGCCATCTCCTTATCCATTCTTCCTCATTTTTACAGATGAGGAACTGAGCCAAACAAGATCAAGTGACTTGCCCAGGGTCACACAGCTAATAAGTGTTTTAGGCCAGATTTAAACTCAGGACAATGAGTTCCTGACTCCAGGCCTGGCACTCTATCTACTACGCCACCTAGCTGCTCCTTGAAATAAAAATACCTGGGTTCAAATCTCAGCTGTACTGATGAAGCCAACATTGGACAAGTCAATTAACCTCTCTGGGACTCAGTTTCTTTATCTAAAACAAGGTTAGACTAGATGGATGGCCTCTAAGGTCCCTTCCAGCTTTAAATCTGTGATCTTTTTAAATGCAAATATTTAATTGGTTTATAAGGAGAGATTTTTCACATTCAGTTTTAATCTGGACCTTGTCAGTTACAGTTGAGTGTTGAAAAAAAATCTGACAGTAGACTTCACATCTTAGTAAGTCCACAGTGACCCCAGATCACAGGGTCCAAAGAATGCAGTTCCTGATTCCTGGAAAGCCTTGGGCAGATACAAAATTTTCTCCTCATCTTAGTACATTTCATGTCTTCTGTGACAAATTAGAAATTGAGAGGCAATGGGGCATGCAATCTGGCATCAGAGAGCCTGTGTTCAGATCCTAGTTTTGCTTTCTATGGCCTGTGTAACTGTGGGTGAGTCACACCTTCCTGACCCTGTTCCTCATCTGTAAAATAGCAGATGGCCTCAGGGTCCCTTGCAGTCTTGATCTAATTCCATTAACAATTTATTGAGGAACTAGCTAGGTAACAGTGCTGGGCCTGGAATCAGGAAGACTCATTTCCCCGAATTCAAATCTGGCCTCAGACACTTATTAGCTGTGTGACCCTGGGCATGTCATTTACCCCTGTTTGCCTCAGTTACCTCGCCTATAAAATGATCTGGAGAAGGGAATAGCAAACCATTCCAATATCTTTTTTTTTTTTGCTTTTTGGTGAGGCAGTTGGGGTTAAGTGACTTGCCTAGGGTCACACAGGTAGTAAGTGTCAAGTATCTGAGGCTGGATTTGAACTTGGGTCTTCCTGACTCCAATGCCAGAGCTCTATCCACTCCATTCCCCAAATGGAGTCATGAAGAGTTGGACACAACTGAACAACATTGTTACTGCGTACCTGTCTCTCGTTTTTCTGCCACCAACTCACGTCTTCTGAGCCCATATTAAAATCATGACCTGTTTCAGTTCAAGCCAAAGTATAATGAGTAAATGCCCCAACAAGAAAGACTCCATATGCCTACAGCTTAAACAGCCTCTAAAGATGTAAGAGCTATTCAACTGTTCTTTTTAAACAGCATTAAAAGATGTTAGAGCAATTCAACTGTTCTTTTTTTACTCCTCTAGGTGTGGAGGGATAACTTAAAGAGACTTAAATTAGGAGCAAAACCTCCAGATGTTTTTTACCGAGTATCTGTTCCACAGAAAGTGATTGATTTGTTAATACAAGAATTTATTAAATAATAACAATAGCTAACATTTATATGGCACTTACTATGTGCCGGGCACTGTGCTAAGCATTTTACAATAACGTCATTTGATCCTCACAACCACCCTGGAAGGAAGATGCTATTATTATACCCATTTTACAGATGAGGAGACTGAGGCAATCAGAGATTAAATGACTTACCCACAGCTAGCAAGTGTCAGATGTCATATTTGAGCTTGGGGCTTCCTGAGTCCAATATTCTATCCACTCCTCCAAACACCAGGTGCTGGAGATACAAAGACCAAATGGAGAACTGGCACCTTATAGCTCTCGTTCTAAGTGATATCTGACCTTGCTATTCCTCAGATCTCTCCATCTCCTGACTGTGCCTTTTTACGGGCTGCCCTTCAAGCTAGGAATGTTCTCTCTTCATCTCTACTTCTGGGCTTCCTTCGATCCCTTCTTTCTGCAAGAGGCCTTTCCCAGTCACCCACTCCATCAGTGCCTTCCCTTTGTCATTCTGTCCAATTTACCCTGCATCTATCTCGTTTATATGGAGCTGTCTGAATGTTTGTCTTCCCTGATGGAAGAAATCTATGAGGCTAGGACTAAAAAAAAAAAAAATACACTTAGCACAGTGCCTAGAATAAAGGAAGTGTTTAATAAATGTTGGCTCAAAGGGATGACAGTTTGTGATGGTTCTGAACAAGGGATTAAATAATAATAAAAATAACAATAATAAACAACACACTAATTCTATATTATATAGTACATATTCTATATGTACTACATGATATATAATACATTACTGATAAATATAATTACAAGTAATGAATATAAATTATTATATTATATATAATATACCTAATATAAATTATATAAATGATGTAATATATAACATAATATAGTATACATAATAAATATATAAACAAATAAAAATAATAAATAAAGAATAGCATTTGCCCTCCGAGAAGATGCTTTGGGAAATAGCATTTTAACAAAACTCCTTAGAATTGCCATTTATTCCACCTCTCCTCTCTTTTTCACAGATGGCTCCAGAGGTTAAGTGACTTATCCAGGGTCACATAGGTAAAAGTAAGCATCAGAGGTAGAATGTGAACTCAGCTCTTGTGACTCCAGAGCCTGTTTTTTTTAAAATCATGTCACACTGCCTACTTTAGTGTTAATGGTGCTCTCTAAGCTGCTGCTGTCTTTTGCTATCATTTGATAGTATCTCCATATCGTTGCTATCTGTAAGTGTGACCAATAACAAGTCAATATAGTTTTAAAAAAAAAGTTGTCCAACTTCTCAGACTGCACCATTTAAGCATTTTTTCTTCCATTTACCTAAAGTCAATCAGCCCAAGAAGTGTCACGTGGCAAGACAAGTAGCTGCCCCAGCCCCCTTTAAAAGTGCACTAAGCCGTCTCCAAGGTTCCTCCTTCTAACTATAAAACACGAAGATTCTAACCAGAAAATTTCAATAAGACAGTCCACTTCAAAATAACGGGCACCAGAGGGCACTGCTCTGCTAGCCTAAAACAGGGGAGGGAGTGTGCTTGTAACAAGCCTGGGGGAAGCTTTAGCTAATAATCAAGCAGAATTAAGAGCAATG